GGAGACTGTTGGCAGCTGTGGTAGGATATGGATGGTGACTGTCCCTGGGTTCTAAACAGCATGCAGGTGGGAGGGAGGGTAGTTTGAAGACCCTACCCCAGAGAATCATGGCTGGCTGCATGAACCATACAGAAGGACGCATGGCAGAAAAGCATATTAAAACTACAAGTCAGTATGATTCAAACTAAAGATGAGGGCAGATATCATGGGGCTATTAGGCTAATTACAAGACTTAATAAATGAAGTGAGTCAGGAATGCAGGCTGACTTGGCTGGGTCTCCGTCCACCTGTTGGGCACGTGTGGATGGCCCCATGGTGATGGGGAGGGCCCACACACCAAAGGGCCCACACACCAAAGGGCCTATACCTTCTCCCTTCTGCCGAGTCATGGCAGGACCCAGGCAGGATGGCCCTGTAGGAGGAGGACTCAAAGGCATTGCCAAGGGTGAGGCACTGTTCTCGGCTCTGGAAATTTAACTATGAACACAACAGGCCCCAATCCTGGCCCTCATAGAGGCCATGGGCAAATACAAGGATGGGAGTTTGTCTTTTCAAGTTTGGATGTTAATTTGTTCAGATCCCTGGATTGAAGTTATGGGGGGAGTTGACAGTGGGTGGAGGAGGCTTGGTATTCAGAAAGGTCCATAGGCCTGTCCTGCTCACAGAAGGACACTGATTAGGCCTGGACCACACCAGGGTGGCTTGTGACCTCTGGTAGGTTGGTGCTAACATTGGCTGGGTCCTGATCCCCTGAGTCACCCTGCCTTGCCCCAGATTCCTTTGCCTTATAGCTTGGTCATCTCAGCTGAGACAACTCTCTGGTTTTGGAAGGGAATTTTCCCAAATGCCACCAACTAAGTTCTCTGAGTCTGAGCTTTGGCTATGCTACCATTGGCCTTGCCTTGTTCTGGGGCTGGGCAGCCTCCACGTGGGGTGGCTTCCCTGTCCTACTTTTCCCCACTCTGGCTTCAGGGGTCAGCTTTCTGTCTTCCTGCTCCCACACCTGTGCAGGGCTAGGCCTGGCTCTCTGAGACCCTGCGGCAAACCTGTTTCTACTGTTGACCCTCCCTTCTGCCCACTGCCATACCCCAGGTCTCAGCCCCATAGCTACGCTGGCCTGGCCTTCCCCAGCTGCCCCACTGGAGTCTTCTCAGCACTTTCTTCCCCTTGGGTTGGATCATGCCTTTCAGAGCCAGCATCATCGTTGGCCACCTCTACCCCACCACTGGAGGGAACACACCAGCTTCTTTCTCCAATGGCTGTGCTCTCAGGGGAGATGGCAGCTGAGGTGGGTGCCTGGCACGAGGTTGGGACTCGGGGCTATGTTTTTTAACTTCTGTTGGTGTTTAGGGCCAGGTCATTTCTTATTGTGGGGCTTCCCTGCTCACTGCAGGTGTTCAGCAGCCCGAGCCTCTCCCACCAAATGCCAGTAGCGCACCCTCCCTGAACGATGGCAGCCCAGAATGCCTCCAGACATGTCAGGAGGCATGTCTATGCCCCATGTCCTGTGGGGAGTGGACTTGCTCCTGCCAGAGAACTGCTGAGTGGAGGATGGAAGCATCATGTCTCAGGCTTGACTAAGACCATACTGAAGGGACCTGAGAAACCACATAGTCCAAAACCCACATTTTAAAGGAAATTGGGCCTTGGAGAGTCAAAGGACCTTAAGGTCACACAGGGGAGCAGCATGATGAAAAAAGTATCCTAAGGCCAGGTGCGGTGGGTGGCTCACGCCTGTAATCTTAGCACTCTGGGAGGCCAGATTGCATTGCTTGAGCTCAGGGAGTTCGAGACCATACTGAGCAAGTGTGAGGCCCTCTGTCTCTACTAAAAATGAAAAACTGAGGCAAGATTTCTTGAGCCCAAGAGTTTGAGGTTGCTCTGAACTATGACGCTACAACACTCTACCAAGGGCAGCAAAGTGAGACTTGGTCTCAAAAAAGTAAAAATAAAGAAAGAGGTGTCCTAGAAAAAAGATTCAGGCAGCTCTGTCTAGGCTGGGCTGAAGCACAGAGGCCAGGGAAGGGAGGGCAGTGGGGCTGCAATCTGGGCATGAGGCTGAGGGCCAAGGTAGTTGTTTTGGTACCTGCCCTGTCAGTCAGTACCCATCATGTGGGGAGAACTCTATCAGGTCTCCTGGGGAGTGGGTGGTAGAGAAGGGGTCTGCACAAAAAGCCAGAAAATTTGTCCCGGCCTGGAGAGGGCCCGGGGGGCTGCTTCTGCGGCTGCTGGGTCCCAAGTTCTACCTGTAGTGAGTACCAGCCCCAGCGGGTTTCCTGCTTATTCATTCAGGGGTCTGGCTTTTGGAGCCATAAATCTTCAGTATGAAGATCATAAATTTTCTATGGTGTGATTAATGAAAGCAAAATTGAGACGGCAGCATATAAACGGACCAGATTGAACAAAGTCAGAGTGACAAGTTGGAGGAAAGTTTCAGCGTGGTGCTGGGGAACTACAAAGCATTTCTGAGGCGGGCTGGAGCGCCACCTAGTGGTCATAGGCAGTGGTGGGCCTCATTCCCCACTACCGAGCTTGGTGATGCCACCCATTGGGCAAAGCTCAGGATCTGAGTGTGCCCCTGCTTTGGGAACCATGACATGCTTCCACCCAGGGCTGCTCCAGGGCAAAGGAGGTGCAGGACCCCCCTTAACCCAGGCAGCTGTGCACCTTCTGATCCTCGTGCAGCTCCTCAAACCATTTCTAGTTTAGTAACACATGGAAATATCCCTGCCCTGTTTTTTCCCCCCATTTGCTGTCTGGACCACCTTTCTGTTTTCTAATTTATCAAAATCCAACTCATTTTTCAAAGCCTGGCGAGGCCTGCCAATATTGCCTTCAAAATACATCTCAAAAAAAAAAAAAAACAACCCAAGACATCTCAGATTGGACCATTTCTCACTGCTCTTTTCACCTAATCACAGTCACCTCCACTGCTCTCCTGGCCACCCCTCACTCCAATGCTGCTTCTCTGAACCGCAGCCAGAGGGATCCATTGAAAACGTAAATCAGATCATGTGGTTCCTCAGGTGACCTGGCCGCCTCACCTACTGAGTCTCTTGCTACTTGTCACCTCCTTTGCTCTGTTGCAGCCACAGGGCCAGCTTGTGCTTCCTTGGTCAGCCAGGCTACTCCTTCTGTCCAGGACATTCTTCTCCCAGATTTTATGTGGCTCAAGTGCCTTTCCTGAGAGGCCTTCCCAGCTCACCCCCACCCACTTTCTGACTTTTTACACATCCTTGTTTTTCTTCATTGCACGTGTCAGCCCCTGAAATTCTGCCACATTTGCTGATGTAAGGGCTCTGTCCCCTGTAAGAATGTATGCTTCGTGAGGGCAGGAAGCTTTGCTGGGGGCTGTTTACTGCTGTCTCCCCAGCTCTGAGAGCAGGGCCTGCACAGGGTATGTTGGTGCTCACTTTGGGTTTGTGGACTGAATGTGCAGGGAAACGTCCACTCCCCAGGGCCTCTGTCCCTTCCCCTCGCCTTCCAGAACACAAGCCACAGCCCTCTCTCCCTAACCTCAGGCTGTCTTGTCTTAGCCCCATGTATCAGTGTTTCCTCTCTGGAGCCAGAGCAGCATGAGAGCAGGACCTGTGCCCGATTCATGGAGTCACAGCAGTCAGCACAGTCCCTATGCATAGCAGCCACCCAGGAAACAGCTTTGCAGTGAGCAGTACCTGGTCCTGGCCACCCACTTCCCATACTTTATCTCATTTAAATCCTCACAATGCAGCAGGAAGGTGCTGGTATTCTCATTGTGCATAGGCGTTTACAAGGTCACACAACCTGGACGAGCTGGAGCTGAGTATCTAGTGTGTGTCTGTGACTCCTGAGTCCTTCCCTTCCCATCTCATGTTTGCCCTGCATGGAAGGCTTCTGTCCTCCAGCTGCTCGAGTCCACCCATTTTATAGGGACTGCCTCATTCAACTGGCTTCTCTGGCCAAAACAGTGAATGCCTCCCCTGAAGGCCTGTAGCATTTATTTGGCACCAGTGTATACTTCCTGGAGCTGGTAGGTACTGCATTTTTATTGCTCCTATCCAGTCAGAACAGAGGCCCCTGGAAGGGCAGGTCTCTGAAGTGGTTGTAGCTTTCTGGCGCAGCACGCGGTGTGCTGTAGGTACTTAGTACATGCTGGCTGACTGATTGATTGGCCCCTCCAACTCAGCAGACTTCCCCTGAGCAGGCAGAGGGTGCTGGGGAGTGTCAGCTATATTGAGCATAAAATAAGGCAGATGTAGAGATTTGTAGCCAATGAAACAGAAGCTTCCCCAGGTGACACTGGTGGCGCCGGCAGCCCCAGGGGTGCTGCAAAGCAGAGTTGGTTCTTGGTTTTCAGGCTGATTGCACTGGCAACTGACTGGGGGTAGGGGGGCAATGACAAAGGCAGCTGTGGACTCCCACGTCCTGCACACTGGCCAGCCCTCAGCCAGCCAATGAGTGCTTTTCTTTCTCTATCTGTGGGAAATTTGTTCTTTAGATTCCTGAGAGAACAGTGGCAAATGGCCCTTCTGGTCAGGGCAAGAGGACAAAGTCACTGGAAGTTCTGGCTCCAAGAAACTGGGCTCTAGGAGTCTACCCACTCCCAGCAACAAGTCCAGACTTTCTTTCTCTGGCCACAGTGCCCCACTCCCAGCTTCCTTCCTGAATGTCAGGGCCTCTTTCTCTGTCAAATGAAATAACCTCAAGCCTCCAGTACTTTCAATACACTTGTTACGTGCTTTGGGCTCTGTCTTGTTTATTCTGACCCTCAGAGTGACTCTGCACGGTTTGTGAAGTTGGTCTAATTCCATCTGCCAGATGGGGAGACTGAGGCCTGGGGAGGCTAGGGGATTAATCTAGATCATGCTGCCGACATACCCTGGGTCTGCGACCATGCCTGACTGGTAGTCTGGTCCCCTCACCGTTTTGTGTCCGAGAATCAGGAATGGGGGCAGCAGCGTTTCCAGTTCCCAGTTTGGCGGAGAGTGAGGCTGGTCTAACAGGTTTTCCTTCCTCTGCAGCTCTGCGGCTGTGGGCTACTTGGAGTGGGCATCTGGCTCTCCGTGTCCCAAGGCAACTTTGCCACCTTCTCCCCCAGCTTCCCCTCGCTGTCCGCGGCCAACCTTGTCATCGCCATTGGTACCATCGTCATGGTGACAGGCTTCCTTGGCTGCCTGGGGGCCATCAAGGAAAACAAGTGCCTCCTCCTCAGTGTGAGTTGGACGCCCATATCCCCGGCCCTCTGAACTCCGGATCCCCCTGCACTTGCACTACTGAGACAGGCACAGCCTGGAGCATCAGCCAGCTGGGTGCCCAGCTGAACCCAGGGAAATTGCTTCTAGAACGTTATATGCCTGAACACACCCCTCTTCTCATGATTGTCACCTCTGCCCCTCGTGGTCTCCTTACTTCCTGGTTATTCTTGTGCTTTATCCCCTCCCCCCACCATGTCCCATTGGGCTGTCGAGGTCTCCTCAGGAGGTGGCCTCTAAGGCCTGGGGAGCCCTGCCCAGGGGCCAGCTCTCCCAGCTTCCCTGCCACTCTTCCCACATGCACCCTGTCCCCAGCTGTCGCCACTGCCACGTGCCCATGCTGGGACCTTTCCTTTCCAGTTCTTCATCGTCTTGCTGATCATCCTCCTGGCAGAGCTGATCTTGCTCATCCTCTTCTTTGTCTACATGGACAAGGTAAGCCTCGGGAGAGGGGAGGGGCCAGACAGAATTTCCCTGACCAGAGGGAAGGTGCTGGTAGGTAGATAGTGCCTGCAAAGGAGGATGGAGCTAGGAGTTAGGGAAGCTCCAGATGGAGGGTTTGGTGGGAGTATCATGGAGGCAGGTTTGGAGGGACTAAGGACTCATTACTCTGTGCAACCTCAGGAAGGGAGGCCTCTACATTACCAGGGATGGCCTAGACTGCCTGTTCTATAGGGAGCTCCCATCGCTGCATGTATTCAAGCCACATGGAGGCTGGACGTGGTGGCTCCTGCCTGTAATCCACCCAAGGCAGGTGTATCAGCTGAGCTCAGGAGTTCCAGACCAGCCTGAGCAAGAGCAAGACCCTGTCCCTACTAAAAATAGAAAAGACTAGTCAGGCACTGTGGGGGGCACCTATAACCCCAGCTACTGGGGAGGCTGAGGCAAGAGGATTGCTTGAGCCCAGGAGTTTGAGGTTGCTGTAAGTTATGAAGATGGGGCACTCTAGCCTGGGAAACAAAGTGAGACTCTTGTCACACACACAAAAAAAAAAAAAAAAAACAAACCACATGGAGAAGGGATTTAGGCCTTATCACACAGCTGGGCCACATGATGTGAGAGCCGCCCATTAGAGACAGGGAGGGGCTTCATAGCTGACCTTGGGTGAGCAGGACCAACGTACAGGTCAGCCACTCCTGGGCTCAGGCCATGCCTCAGGCCTGGGAGGCTGATGGGGTGATCCCTACATCCTCACCATGCTGGACAGTTTGCCCATTGGAGGATCTTTTGATTAGTTCTCCAGAGGATGGTCAGCCGAGCTCAGCCTCTCAGGCTTAGCAGGCACCTCAGAACTGACATAGTTGCCCAAGCCACAGTGAAAGTGAGAGGTATTATTAAGATTAGAGACGTTAATTCTGAGTTTTGTGTGTGTGAAAGGGAGGAAGTAACACTATTGAGAGATTTCTCCTTGGTAGCCCTGTTCTTGGCTCTTATTGAGAATTGTTTTCCTTAATTGTCACAATAGCCCCAGGAGGTAGATGTGGTTATTTCGGTGTTAGGGATAAAGCAGAGGTGGGAGAGGTGGACCTCAGATTAAAGTGACCTGTCTGTCCTTGTCTTGTTTCCAGCACGTTTTGAGAGGAGGAGTCTGTGGGGAGGATATTGTGTCTCTGTGCGTGGGGTGTTGGCTTGTGGGTGTGGCTCATACAGGCACAGGGCAGTTGGAGGTGTGCGTCTGTTTCTGCCTTTTGGTGGCACAGCCCTGCCCTACATGTTTAGCTCTCCTGGGACTCAGTGGGTGCACCAGGGTGCTGCAGGCTGCAGCTGGGGTCGTCAGCCCGTCCCCACTTCCACCCCTACTGGGTCTCCCAGTAGGACAAAGCCCCCTAGACCAGTTGTCTCCCCTCCCCTTTTTCGTACGTGTCACCAGCAGTGTGATCTGGGGTGGACTGGGGAGGGGATCTGCATTCTGGTTCCCACAACCTGCCATGTCCCTCCACCTGACAGGTGAATGAGAACGCCAAGAAGGACCTGAAGGAAGGCCTGCTGCTGTACAACACCGAGAACAACGTGGGGCTCAAGAACGCCTGGAACATTATCCAGGCCGAGGTGAAGGCCGGGGGAGGCGTTGCAGCCCGTGGCTTCCACCTGCCTCTCCAGGGGATAGAGTTGGGCACTTTCTGGATTTTAGCCAGGAGTAGGGTGGGGGTGACAGGTCCAGCAGGGCATTTGCCTGAGCTGCTGGGTCAAACACAATAACAGATAATGCAGGGGAGGGGCAAGGATGGGAGAATAGACAGGCCTAACGGAGGTGTAAGGAGTGGCTAAGCTTTGGGACAAATGAGAGAATTTATTTTAGATTTACCTCTGGATTATGCTTGGCTCAGGCAAGGAGGTATTCATTCTCCAGGGAAAACAATTTCCTACACCCAGATGCCCCATTTAAGCCCTGGGGGAGGGGTCAGCAGATAGTCAGCTGGCAGCCACCTTGCAATGTTCAACAAGAAAAATAAGGGAGGTGGCAGTGGGTGAGCAGAGGACGGACTGAGTTTTCCTGCCCGGGGTCTGGTGCCAGCCTGAGGGACAGGTCACATCGCCCTCCCCTGTCTTGGTCACTCACTTCCCCCAGGGCCCAGCTAAGGACCCTTGTTCTCCTCCCTGAACTCCAGAGTGGTGGCTTTTGTGGCGCTGGGAGAGGATGGGCGGGCTTGGTGGATCTGACTGCCCCTGTCCATCCTGTGGGCAGATGCGATGCTGTGGCGTTACTGATTACACAGACTGGTACCCGGTGCTGGGGGAGAATACAGTTCCTGACCGCTGCTGCATGGAGAACTCACAGGGCTGTGGGCGTAACGCCACCACACCCCTGTGGAGAACGGTGAGGCTGCGTCCTGGGTCTGCCTGTGTGGTGGATGGCCTGGCCTGAGGCCTTGGGGAGGGTGGGCGCAGGAACTGGCCTGATGTGGGGTGGAGAGGGGCACAGGTGGAAAATAGGGGCTAGACCCATGGTTGGGAGAGATAGAGGGGGAAGGGTGGCTTGGGGGTGTAACTGTGCAGGCTGTATGGGAGGGGGCACTCAGAAGGGGCCAGGGCTGAGGTTGTGGTGGAGGGTGAGAGGAGGGGAGGAGCTAGGCCCTAACCTGCAGGCCTCGCTCTGCAGGGCTGCTACGAGAAGGTGAAGATGTGGTTCGAGGACAACAAGCACGTGCTGGGCACGGTGGGGATGTGCATCCTTGTCATGCAGGTAGGGGGTGTCCCAGCCCAGGGCAGAAAGGAAGTGTGATGGAACTAGCTGGTTGGTACCTGGCCCAGTGTCAGCAGTTTTTGTAAGTGCTTTAAAGCTGAGCCATGAGCCTGCTGTTGTGCAGAGTGCAGATGTGAGAGCAAGATTCTACTGAGTACTGAGAGTGGGGCTCATGTCGGGGCTGCCTGTGGCCAGGCCTAGACCAGAGCCTTGGGCTCCCTGTTGTGCCCAGACCTTGAGCTGTTGTATTTTGTGCATGTGGCCACTCTGTAGTGACCACGAGGCCAAGGCCAGCTTCCTGCTGCACCCTGCACTTCTCTGGGTCCCCACCCCTTTCAGGATTCAGGTGTGGAAGGCCACAAACAAGTACTAACCACCGAAAGCTCAGCATTGTCAGTGGTCCCAGATGTCACTTCACATGTTCAGAACCAAACCAGACGCTGGGCGTGAGTCTTTAAGGGTCCTGCCACCTTCCTCTCCCCACCTCAGTTCCTGTTTGCTCCCATTTCAGGCCAGGTTCTCTGTGCACCCTCTGGTGCACCTCGGCAGGTGGATGCTTCTGTACAAACAGCCCCAAGGCGCCGAGCCAGAGTTCACCTATGCACGGCCACAGCTGAGTCACCACAGCTTCACACCTGTCCCCAATATACAGTGGCACACCCACTTGCTTTCGATGCCCTGTGACACTCCAAGACTTGCTGGGCTGAGGTTAGACCTGGGTTCTGGAGCTTCTGTCTAAGGCCCTTCCCCCGTGTCTTTCAGATTCTGGGCATGGCCTTCTCCATGACCCTCTTCCAGCACATCCACCGGACTGGGAAAAAGTACGATGCATGAGTGGGCTGACTGGGAGCACCCCAGCCCTGCCCAGACACTCTGTGGAGGGAAGAGGATTGAGCTTTGTGTCGCCTGCCTGCACTCTCCAGACTGTGACCCTGCACCCACCCACACCCTGCCCTCCCCTGCCCACTGCCTCAGCCTCAGACATCTGGGTGGGTGGAGGACCAGAGAGGAGGAGGCTCAAGGAGACCGGGGCCACAGGCACCCGCATTCCTGCACCTGCATCTGTGTATTTGCCAAAGACGACGGGGTGGACTGGGGACATGCTCAGGAGGAGCCCCCGGCATGGATGGGTTCCTGCCCCCCACCCTTCCTCACACTGACTTTTGTCCCTGTGTGGGGTGGGGCCCGGTGGAGAGACTGCCCCAGCGGGGGTCACTGCTGTCCACGGCTGCCGTGGCAAGGTTGGTGGGGGTGGGGTCGGACTGCCTTTAAGCAAGGCCCCTGGAGCATCTTGCCCAGGCTTTTTATACCTTTACAGTGTAACTTTTTTATTTTATTTTACTCTGATTATGATTATTCAGGAATATTATCTCAGATAAGTTTAGGGTTAGCTTTCTGATTTATAACTTTTTACTGTGTTGATTTCTTTAATGGTTTGCTTTTTTCCCGAGGGTGGGGGGCGGGTGGGAAGAAAGGACATCCGTCCAGTTTCGTTCGGGATAAACCACTGTGTGACACCCACAAGGTTCTCGCTCAGAATGCACTGAAGAGGAAGGAGCCGGCAGCAGGGTGTGGGCCCTGCCTGGCCTGGCGTCCGTGGACAGGTGCCTGGAAGTGGCAGGTGGAGTGTGGCAGCGTGGAGGGGCATCCTGCACCAGTGGTGGCATTTGGAGGGGGTATCCTCTGGGGGCTGGTGAAGCACCTCTCCACAAGGGCAGCCGGAGCCAGCAGGTCCTTAGGCTTTTTGCTGATGGGCAGTTTCTGGTGTTTTTCCTTCTTCCTTCCTCCTGCTCTCTGCTGGTGTGGGAGGCTTCCCCTTCTCCCCATGCGGGCATCGTTCCCGCGACAGGTTCTGCACACCCCAGTTACTCTCACAGACATTCCTGCTAGAAACTCTCAGACAAATACCTCTCTAGTTCAGATGCTGCTCACTTTCTCACCTTGCTTCTGGAAGGGGAAGCAGTCCTGTGTTCTGCTGCAGAGGACCGTGACCATCAGGAGAGGGAGGTGGAACTGGTGCCCGCCACTCCCTGCTGCCTTCACTGGGCTGCTGCTGGGAGGGTAGGAAAGGTGTCATCCAGGTCCCAGGACCCTCTGCACTTTCCCCGGGTTCACTGACATCAGCAGCAGTGGGGTGGGTGGCAATTACATCCTGCGTGATCCTAAGGAGAAGTACCAAGAGCCCGAGAGAGGAAGACAGACTGGCTCTTGTCATGCAGTCCCAGAGGAGAGCAGCCTGAGTCAGGATGTGGATAGACTGGGCATGGGTGGTAGACGACAGTATTCAGCTGCAGCAGGATGTCGTCCCCTCTCCCCCTAACCAGTGCGGGTCCAGTTTAATGTTTTGTAGTTAAGAAAAGAGTCAAGACCGTGTGGGACTGAGCTTGATGGGGTCATCCACTCACTACCCGGGGTCCAGCACCTTTTGCTGGATGTGGCCTCATGTGGGGCTTTCTCCTGACTCCTTTGGCTTAATACTCTGGTTAACTCCTAGGCCCAGGTCTCTCCTCCAACCTCCACCTCCCTGTCCCAAGAGCTGAGGCATGGCCACCCACCTGCCAGTGACTCCTCCCTCCACCTAAGTAACATACAAATTGGGACCAGGAGGATAAGACTTTTGGTGTGTCCAGGATTCACGTTTTTGAGGGGTGGGAGTGGAGAGCAAGGTTGTCTTAGCAAGGCCAAGTAAAGATGGCATCCCTGAGTGGGAGCAGTGGTGCTGAAGGAGGCCTGGGGGGACAGGTGTTGGATGGAGCACAGGGCAGGATAAAACTGCCTTCCTCTCATCCTCTGGCCTGTTGTCCTGGTAAGGAGCTTCAGCTGCCTCCCTGGGAACCCCAAAATGCAGATTCCAGAGCAAACATGCCACTGCAGAGAGACGCTCAGCAAACGAGTGTTCGAGTCGCACAGTGGGACCTGGTACATAATGCATTTTTGCCCTGGGTGGGCTGTGGAAAGTTTGTTTATGCCAATCAATGCAATTTTTAATTTTTGTTAATGTCAACAGGAAAAGCCTAGTGCACTTGGAGGTGGGTAGCCTCCCTGGCAATCTTGTTTCTGGAGTGCCTCTGGTGTCCTCTGGCCCCAGAGCCTTTGCCACAGTTCCCTGCCTACGCCAGCCCCCACCTCACCCGTGTTGTTTGCAGAGCCTTGCCCACAGCTCCCAGAACTGCCTTCTCACCTCAGCCTGTGCTTGGCTGTTTGTCATTTGGCTGAGTCTACACTGGGCAGAAGTCGTGCACAGGGTGGGTATTTGCCAAGCCCCTAGGCCCATCCTGCCGACTGGTCCTCAGCCACACAGAGGGCCATACCCAGTGACACTAGTGAAAGTGGCTCAGAATCTTTTCTTGACTATGGTTTCACTAGGGCAGAATTCCACTGGGTGAATTTGTTCGCTCGTGGCCTCCCTTTCCAAAGCCAGAGTTCATTCAATCAGATCTGAAGCAGGCAATTTACAGACTTTTACCAAAAGTCTCTTAGGGTTTGTACATGACTTCAGGGGAATGTCAGATACAGACTCAGCCTTTCTCTGCAGCCATCTCACAGAGTGGGTGAGCAGGCAAGGGCTGAGAGCTGCCCTCGGGTGGCTGACAGTAGGTGTCAGGGTGCAAGCCTTCCCCTGTGCCCACATGCCCTCAAGCTGGAGCATCACCCCTTCTGCGTGCACCCTGGGCTTTTTGGAAAGGCTGCCAACCCCATCCCTGGTTTGCCTTGGAACAAGGTGCCGTCCTTCCAGGCTGGCGTGGAAGTGGAGGTGGGTGGCAGTCCAGGTGGATGGAAGTGACTGTCCCCTCCTCTCCGGCCCCCTGCCCACCCACTGGTGGAGGTGCTAACTAGCAGGGACATGGCATAGGACGGGAGCTAGGCACCAGGTGCTTGGGGTCCTTTCTTGTCCCTCAGCCCTACAGAGTCCAGCCAGCCCCTGTGTGTCCCTGTTCTCCCCCGCTCCTCACCACAGTGAGGCAGCCATCAAGGGTAGGTCCTGGGCTCCCTGCCCACCTGATGCGGGCAGGGCGGGAGAGAGAGCGGGGAGCACATGCTTGTTGGTTTCAGATGCACTTTTCTGCTTGTGATGCCGTATCTGTGCATTTCCTTCATTCTGGTCCTGGCTTTATTGAACACCATGTTTTTAGCATGTTTTTAAATAAAAACTGATAACACATCAAAAGCATAAGCAGGCTGTCTCTCAGTGGTGTGTTTTGTTTGCTCAGCCACGACGTGACTTATTTCATGTAGCGGTTGGTGTGGGGGACATGGGGATTAGACACCAGTCCCATCCTTTGTCCAGGACACACCCCCACAGCCAAGGCCTCAGCTCCCTTGTGGGGTGCAGGTTCCAGGTCTGTAGGATCTCAGTCCTCTCTAGGTGGCTGAGGAACCCACATGCACCTTTGCCTGGGGACTTGATGCAGGCTTGGTCAGGGTCAGTCCTAGTGCCTGAGCTTTCTGCTTGAGAGGCCAGCACTCCAGCTTGGTGTCTTCTCTCCTCCCAGATGGGCTAGGCCGGCGGGGGAGGCGGGGAGTGTTCAGTCATTCAGTGATTCAGTGGCTTCCAGTAGGGGCAGGGGCCTCGGTAGGGCAGGCCTGTCAGTTTCAGGTACAGTCTCTTTCCAATCCCTTTGACTTCCTGGGGTTAACTGGAGCCTGATGTCTCTTGCAGGAGTGAGAGGACCTCACAGTATGACTTGGCTCCACTCAGAGTGCCTCTGAGACAGCCCAGAGAAGGCCCAGAATCAGTATGAGGATGGGCAGTGGGGAGGGGCCGGCTGGAACCGTGGGGATGGGAAGAACTGTGCCTTGCAGTGCAAGGCTCCCAGCTGCCTGGCTGGGTTCTGGTTGGGGGTTTTCCTTGGCTGTCATAGTCATAGTCACAAGTTGCAGATGAGAGAAGCTTACAGTGTGTCCTTATCCTGGGTCACGGATGCACCGTGTGTCCCCAGCATGTGGTGGGAAGCAGGGATGCAGCGTGAGTGCCCCATGGGCCTGTGGCAGTCAGAGGTGGGGGACCCCTAAAGTCCTCTGCATGTGGAGGTCTGTCCCCCACCCTCCTCAAGGAAGTGGCCAGGCCCACATGGAATTGTCCCAAAGCATCAACTTTTGGGGCCCCATCTCTAGCTGCTGTGTCCTGTGGGCTCCAGAGACTGTCTCTGAGTCTAGGATGGCCCTCTGTCAAAGGTCCACCTGGAATGGGATCCCTGAGAGCCTCCACAGGAAATGTACTGAGAGAGACTGGGTGGTTATAGGGTCAGGATTGGTCCTGGCCAAGGGGCAAGTGGCCCCCATCATCTGCAGAGGACCCACTGACTCACAGGAATGTGAGTGGAAGCTACCTGTCTCTGCCTGTTCTGCTCTGGCTCCTATGTACTGGGCCTGTGGAGGATGCTGCCAGGATGCCAGTGGGTTGGTGTGCTGTCTGCTATGGCAGGGCAGTGGAAGGCAGTCTTAGCTCAGGCCACACTGTGGATGTAGGGAGCAGATGTGCCTATCAGAATGGGGGCTGATCATCGTTTTCCCTGGGACTTGTGAAAATGAGGCTAGCACCTTCTGAGATGGGTTCTGAGCTGTTCAGTCTAGGGACCCTTCCTTTGCTCCCCATTCTTGTGTGATTTTGTGGGATAACTGCCCCCCACCCATTGGTTTTCAGCAAAGGGCAAGTGAGAACCAAAGGACTGGTCTGGGAGCAGCAGCAGAATAGGCCTGGCACCCCATGAGGACCCTGCCAGCACTGGTGCCCGCATGGACAACAGGTCTATTCACTCAAAAACTGACTGGGTACTTACTCATGCTCGTGGAGCCAGCTATTGAGTAGGGACTCCAAGCACAATGGTTATGGCACCAAACACATACACCAAGGGTGGCAGATTTGAACCCGGCCCCGGCCAGCTAAACAACAATGACAACTGCAACAAAATATAGCCAGGCATTATGGCGGGCGCCTGTAGTCCCAGCTACTTGGGAGGCTGAGGCAAGAGAATCACTTAAGCCCAAGAGTTTGAGGTTGCTGTGAGCAGTGTGATGCTACAACCCTCTAATGGGGGCGACATAGTGAGACTCTGTCTCAGAAAAAAAAAAAAAAGTGAATTAGTCACAACTCCTTAGCTTTGGTGGCTGTGTGGGAGGGGTGCTGGCCAAGCTCGGGAATGCTGAGTCCCACAGAGGAGGTGATGACAAAGCTAAGAGCTGACAGTGGGGTGTCAACTCTTGGCAAGGAGTGGAAGGAAACATGTCCAGTGGATGGATGTCATCCACAGAGCTGGGGCACAGAGGACGAAGTGGACAGCATGGCCACTGCCAGGTCATAACCTTGACAAGTAGGTCAAAGAGCCTGAACTTTAAGAGCAGTGGGAGCCACAGAAAAGCTTACTGAAAGTATGACAGTTACTAGAAAGATGACAGTGGCCCAAGGGACAAGGTTGCTGCAGGAAGAAGGGGCACAGGTGTGGCAGTGATTTAGGTGAGAGATGACAGGGCCGCAGGAAGCAGTGGTGGGGTGGGGGCAAAGCCGCCAGATTTGAGAGACCTGGAGGAGAATTGATGATCCTTGGTGCTTAATTGGATTTATTGGAGGATGAGGGGAAGGAGCATTCTTGCCATTCACCCAGCATGACACCCTCACCTGGTCAGGTAGATGATTAACTGTACCAAACGGATGGATGGATGTGTTTTCTGGGCTCAGTGCGCTTGTGCAGGAGATGACAGGCACCAGCGTGATGTAATTAAATCTGTTTGTATTGAGCTTCACAGCTTGCAAAATGCTTTCATAAACATTTTCTAGGTTCCTTCCGACTGTAGCAGTCTTATCAGCTGTCACTGGGCTTGAATGTCCACCACTAAGGATGTATCATGGTGTGGCTGGAAAGAGTGATGGTTTGGGAGTTGGAGGACTTGGATTAAATTCCTGCTCTGCATTGGGTGTCCATCTGAGCCTTGGTGCAAGGGCCCTGCCTTGGTCTTGTCATCCACAAAAACAAGGATAGTACCTATTTTATAGATTTGCTGTGGGAATGAAATAAAAGTATGTGTGTAAAGGCATCCATCCAGCTTGTTCCTGGACCAGGATAGGTGCTTGGCAAGAAATGGGTAGAATCTGGGTTCTCAAATGAAAGGCAAGACCCTAAGGAAAAGAGACACAGGAGAGTGATCTGGGCAGGGGAGTTGGCGTATCGGGGAGCAAGCAGTTCAAGGAGCTCAGGGCAGAGGCTTCCCTGTGCCTCATGTCCCTCTGGGCTGCCTCAGCAGCAGTATTCAATAAACCACAGGCGCAGGAGGGAGGCTAGATTAAATAAACGTCATTTGGACACAAAAATATTGGCATTGCAATGGCTCTTTCTTAAAGGATTCAGCAAAGATTGTGTGGCTATTGATTTAGCCATCTCATTTTTGCTGAGTTTAATGACAGCTGCTCTTGCAGCTATGGTGTCCTTAAACTAACAAAAAGAATAACAACACTCCACAGGATGTGCTTGAGCCAAGCTCTCCTGATTGAAGCTGCTGCTTGAGCTTCCCCACTGTAGCCCCTGAGGCTGCCAGGTAGCTGGGAGCCAGGTGGGGCAAACCTGGGCAGTGACCCATGTCCCTTGGTGCCCTGCATGCAGAGGAGAGAGGCGAAGTAGAAGGCCACACAGTGATCTGTGGTCAGTCTTGTGGTCAGTGCCTGTCACCCAGAGAGTCTTGTTTTGGTTAGGGAAGAAAGGCTGGTTCAACATGTGGCCCAGGCGAGCGGCAGCCTGTGTTCTGTGATGTAATGACGTCAGGAAATCCTGGTGCTTTGCCCCTCTAATCCTCCCCTCCCCTCCCCTCAGTGAGCTCCTGCAATCCCAGTACAGACGGCCATCAGCTCGCTATGCTCCACTTAACATTCTTGGATTTCATGAGGCACTCTGCCTCCAGCAAACCATACTTTGAGTACCCATATGACCATTCTGGTTTTCACTTTCAATATAGTATTCAATAAATTACGTGAGATACTCAATAACTTTATTAAAAAATAAGCTTTGTGGGCTCGGCGCGCATAGCTCAGTGAGTAGGGCGCCAGCCACATACACTGAGGCTGGCAGGTTCGAGCCTGGCCTGGGCCTGCTAAACAACAATGACAACTGCAACCAAAAAATATCCAGACATTGTGGTGGGCGCCTGTCGTCCCAGCTACTCGGGGGGTTGAGGCAAGAGAATTGCTTAAGCCCAAGAGTTTGAGGTTGCTGTGAGCTGTGACACCACAGCACTCTACTGAGTAAGACTTTGTCTCAATAAAAAGCTTTGTGTTAGATGCTTTTGTCCAACTGTAGGATAGGCTTGGCTAAGCTATAAGGTTCGGTAGCTTAGGTATATTAAATACATTTTCAACTTGATAATACTTCAGCTTATAACACGTATGTGGGGACGCATGCCCCATTGTAAGCTGAGGCACATTTCTTTCTCTGGCAAGAGAACCCACTTTCAGAAAGGACTCAGCCTTCTTAGTTGCCAGTTGGCAACTCAGGGAAACATGTCGGGTTTGATCTCTGGTCCCCTACTCAGGGCTCTCTAAAGTGGACTTAGGGATGCAGGAGCCACTCTGAGTATTTTTTTTGTAGAGAAAGAGTCACACTTTTTTGCCCTCGGTAGAGTGCAGTGGAGTCACAGCTCACAGCAACCTCCAACTCCTGGACTTAGGTGATTCTTCTGCCTCAGCCTCTCAAGTAGCTGGGACTACGGGCTCCCGCCACAATGCCCGGCTCACTCTGCGTATTTTAAAAGTCTGACAGGGGTTGTTCCTGGGTCATGGGCACATTAAACCTCTTGGCTCTGACTGGCTTTATCTCCTCCATGCAGCGACGTTCTATCTTGCTGATGGAAAGGGCTGGATTCCGGCTTCATTCTTTCCCTCTTCTGCCCTTGGTAATGCAAAGGCTCCCACTGGGTGCCCTGGCAGGGTCATCTCCTTCCTGCCCAAGTCACTACCAGACAGAGTTTCCACTAGAGGCAGAAGCAAGAGCGAAAAGGAGGCAGGGGCTTCTCCTGTGTTTGCTTTTAAGAAGAAAATAGGGGTCATCGTGGTGGCTCATACCTGTAGCCCTGGCACTCTGGGAGGCTAAAGTGGGAAGATCACTTGAACTCAGGAGTTTAAGACCTGCTACTAAAAAGATTTTTGTACTAAAAATAGAAAAATTAGCTGGGCATGGTGCTGGGCAC